TTTTTTTTTTTTTTTTTTTTTGGTAAACATAGTTTCCCATAAAAAGAAAATAAAAAGAATCAGGGAAAAAATGTACTAAATTTCTTTTAAGCCTACTGAGTGATTTTTGAAAGTTTTCCCAGACTGCCTGTAGGCCCAGAGCCTATATGATCCTGGGTACTTAGATTCAGGGTTGGAAGATAAGTTCCTTAAGGGCAGGGTCTCAGCCTAGTTCATCATTTTAGTTACAGTACCTACCACTTAGTAGCTGTATCTCTTGATTGAATGACTAAGTGAATGAATGCAGCACCAAATGAAGTTCCTGAAATAAGGCTTTAATTTTCTTCGAAGAATTTTTGTTTAAAGATAGACGGTTTTATATTTACTGCCATTGTTTGCTTTTTGGTAGAAGGTTTCAGAAATGGATTTTTCCTCATGTTTTTCATTTTGTTTTGGAGAAGAAAATGCTTGGAGGTGATGATATATTTAAGAGTCTCCCATGAAATACAACTGTATTAAATTTAAAATAATGTATTATTTTGGGTATTACATCAGATAGTATCGTCATACTAGATTTTAGCATAATGTAATTATAGCAGGCAGTGTAGTTTATAGAAAAATTTGTGGGAGGAAAAAACCATGACTTAGAAATAAGATGAACATTAACAATAGAACTCTGGTCCAGCTTGTGGAACAGCAATCCTGGTGCTAATAAAAATCAACACGCTGAAGTAATATATGCTAAGAAAGTAGCTCCCACCCCTTTTCAAGTCTTGGCACATATAATAAAGTGCAAGGATAGCCAGGGTGTAAGGGAAGTTTTGATATTGAGATCTGATACCTCCCAAATTTCATGATACTAAAAAGTATATTGAAAGGTAGCAATTAAGCTGGGATCTAACTATATTATGATAATGATATCATAGGGCTGGTGCTCTGCACAGAGACCAAACAAAGGGAGGAATGTATCAGTTTGTCCAGTGTTGCATGAGAAAGAGTGGCTTTCAGTGGACATGAATGTTCTGGTCGCCAGGAGGAGGCCAGTGTAGCAGTGGAGAGCCAGCGAACACCACCGGAAACACCACTGGGAAGCCCCTGGCAACACTTTAAAACATTTATCTTTAAAAAAAAAAAAAAAAAAAATCAAGATCCAAGCAGGTAGAAAAAACTGTTAGGATTGGGTATCATAGCATTAAAAAAAGGTTATGCTGTGTCTGGTTTTAATATAAACATAACTTTGAATTTTTTTTAATTATTATTCCATATCTGTGGGTAGTGCCTGGCACAGCTGAGTTCCATTATAATGCAGTTTAAGAACTAAAGCCCTGTGGTAAATGACCCATGTTCTCCGAGCCTTCAGCAGTGTGGATGGCACAACTCTTTACGACCTTCCACCACCACTTGCTGTCATTCTTTGCTGAAACTGGCTTCTGGTTACTCAACTGGCTTTCCAAAAGCTTTGGAATGGGGAGTGGGGTGCAGGGCAGAGATGTTGCCCTGGTGATTGTTCCAGTAATTGGGACTGTGTATTTCCCATTAGATCTAATTTGTTGGCATTCCGGGTTCTGTGTTTAAGTGGCATGCGTTGGTTTCTGAGAGTCCTGACTGCTCTTAAATGAACTAATAGCGTCTGATCTCAGAGGTAAAGTTGGCACTCCCTAACCTGCAGTGCCCTTCCTTTCCATATGCACTAGTTTCTTAGGTAATTGTTTTTAATATTTAAATAATTCTAAATCATTCAGTATCACCCAGCTAATAATTAAAATAGCTTTTCAGCTGATAGCAGGGACCATGTTTTAGACTTAATCAGCATCTGCAATCTAAATATTGACCATCTTTTCCAGATGTTTTAAACTAGGGACTACTCGGAAGAGGCAAGTATCTGGTAGTATACAAACTCAGCCAATTTGTAATTCCTGCCACTCTTCGGTACTCCATGACAAACATAGAGGGTTTTATTTAGTAGTCTAGTGTGTAGTTTCTGAATCTACATTTTTAATAAACTACCTCTGTTGATTTAGATCAGATTGTTCTAGATAGCATTCTTAAGAATAAATGTGTATCAGGATCCCTTGGGGCATACTTTTAAAATGTACATTTCTGGGGCCCAACCTCAGAGATTCAGATCCTGTTAGGAAACCAGAATCAAGATGCACAAAACAAAACAATAATTCTAAACATATTTTAGGTAGTTAATAAATATTTCGTCTGATTCAACTGCCTAGTATGGTAGGAATTTGGTGTAAGTTAGAGAAGCCTTGAACTTTGGGAGAGGGTGGGACCTTAGGCTTGGTAGGGGAGGTGATTTAGACAGGCCTAGAAAAGCAGGGGAAGTCATTTAATCACTGAAGTGTGGGAAGAGCAGAGGCTGAGCAAATGTGCAAAGCTCTCATAAGTGGTGGTGGGACTGAGAGATGAGCATGACTGTACAAATGCATAGATTCATGTTGTTCTTACCCTGTGTTTTCAGAGAGGAGTTGGAGTGGTGTGTAATAAATGTCACATATTGGATGTGTGGGCTCTTCTGCTGAGACATCTCTTCACTCCTGATCAGTAGCCATGAATGGCTGGTAAAATTGTCTGGAGGGGTGCCTCCCTCTCTTCTCTTGGTTCCATTTGGGTTTCTCCTAAGGGTAGAACTTACTTGAGAAAGGTCACCTCCAATAGAGGAAATGAAGTTCCAAAAGCATTCTTAAGGTTTATTTTTTATTTTTAACAAATGTGGGTTCAGAGGGAACTGAAATTAATAATGTATTAAGTGTTTTATTTATTTAGTCAGGTCATTACACTGAGCTTTGGTTTCTGCCCTGGAGGAGCCCCATCTTCTACCTGGAGAAATGCGGTTACACTGGCAGTGATGGACTCTTACCCAGAATGCCGGGCCAAACAAAAGGAGAATTAGCTAATTCAGTTTAGAAGTGTCAGGGTCTGGAAAGGCTTCACACAGGAGGTACATCTAAGCAGATTTTGAAGGTCGAGTTGGAGTTGGCCAGCTGAGGAGAGGAAGTGTACCAGGAAACGGGAAAGCGTATGTACAGTCACACTTGCAGCAGAGAATATGGCATGACTGGAGTTGTAAGGAGTTTGGTGCAGAAGGAGCTCAGGATCCCTGGAGGGAAGCTGAGGCCAGAGGTATATGCAGGGGCTAGGTCATGATGTGTCTCATAGGCCGCGCTGTGGGGTTGGGTTTGTCATGAAAGCAATTCCAAGCTGCCAGAGAGTTTTAAACTGTTATTTTGTATTCACTGTAGCTGCAGTATGAATGATGGGCTGAAGAGGGCAAGGCCAGAGTTGGAGGGGAAAGAGATGATGAGATCCTGGTTCTCGAGCAGGAGGTGGGAATAGAGAGAAAAGGACCGAAAGGGGGAATTTAAAAGGCGGGTAAAAAAGCACTTGGTGGCCACTTGAGGTTTGGCAGAGAAGGAGGTTCTGACAGTGAGTGGATGGTGCTGCCATACCTTGAGGTGTGGGAAAGGAAAGAACTAAGTTTGGTGGGGAAAATGATGAGTTCATTTAGGGAATATATGGACTTTGAGGTGTTTGTGGGACATCTAAGTAGAGATGTCTGGAGGGCTCTTGGGTAGTGAAGTCTGCAGCTCAGGAAGATAGGGGTCAGACATTGGTGTAAATGAGAAAGGATAACTTGAATGTTATGGTACTAGGTTGATTTAATCTCCAAAGTATTTCTCAAAGCACCTGCTACCTTCTATGCCTCTCCCATCACTTTGGTTCTAGCTACTGTTGCCTTCTAAGTGGTCTGCCTGCTTCCATATCAGTCCATTCTTACACAGCTGGCAGAGTGATCTTTTAAAAATGAGCTGGAGCCCAGCTGGATGTGGCTCAGCAGTTGAGCATCAACTTAGGATCCAGGAGATCAAGGTTTGATTCCCAGTCAGGGCACATGCCTGGGTTGTGGGCTGGATCCCCAGTTAGGGAGCGTGCAAGAGGCAGCCGATCAGTGACTCTCATCATTGATGTTTCTCTCTCTCTCCCTCTCCCTCCCTCTTTCTAAAATCAATAAAGATATATAAAAATATAAAAATGAGATGGAAATTTGTCATCTCCCTGCTTAGAACCCATCACCACTGACTTCCCATTGTCCTTAGAATAGATTCAAACTTCTTACTATGACTACAAGGCCCTGCATGACCTCGCCCGGCCTGCCTACCTGCTTCTCCACACACATCTTGAGTGACACTTCCCCTCACTTGACCACACTGTAGCTTCACTGGCTTTTTCAAGGCCACACATAGACCTCTCTAATGTCTTGTTGTGTGCCTAGTTCTTTCTCTTTTCCTGACCTTTGTTCATGCTGCTCTCTCTGCCTGGATTACCGTTCCCCTACCCTCATCCTGGCTAACACCTTATCTTTCAGGTTTTACCTCAGATATTTTTCAGAGGAGCTTTCCCTGACCTCCTGAGCTATATTAGAGCCACCCTGCATTTTTCTATGTAGCACTTAACAATTTGTTACTAGTTCCTTGAGTATTTGTTTAGTATCTATCTCCATATAAGCTCTGTGAGGGCAAGGTCCACCCTGTGTTTATCATGATACCCCCAGTGTCAGGCAGTCCTGAGCATTGGTCAGATTTGTTGAATGAATGAGGGTCATAACCTATTTTGAAAAACTTGCAGTTTTTACGCTGTCACAGAATAAATAGGACTATGGTTCAAGCTTTACAACTTATGTAGCTGATTTCATCTACTTTTGACAGTCTATGACATTTTTAACTGTTATTAAATACTCTCTGCCTCTGGGAAGTTGGGACAGTAAACTTTCAAATCAAATGTTAGGAGTATTTTTCCTTCCTGTTACCTGCATTCATTATGGTGACTCTGGTTAGAGTGGCCTGACCCATTGTCAGTCTCACAGTGGCATGGCTGCTGCTGAGTTTTGAAATTGGAAAAACTGCTAATTGTTCCTTGAGTTGGTCAGAATTGAGTAGCCGCCTTTTCCTTCAGCCCTGGTTTGGGAAGTGTCCCAATACATGCTGTTTGCATTGCAGCTGTGGGAAAGTCCACCTTTGTGAAGTTACTCACGAAAAGTTACCCAGAGTGGCACGTAGCTACAGAACCTGTAGCAACATGGCAGAATGTCCAGGCTGCTGGCACGCAAAATGTAAGTTTTCAGTTGTGGGTAGTTGGCAGGCATGGGTGAGTAAACTAATTGTAATAATCTAATTTGCTCTGAGTGGGTGAAGTAGCCCAGTTTGAGTATCCTTTTTAAAATACCTTCCTTCCAGAAAGCAGACCACGTATACCAGAGAGGATATGACTTGTTTGAATATGTTTAGTTTTGATTTTTGTGGTGTTTACATGTTTGCATAAGTGACTGCTTCTGTTCTGTGTGGTTTCCCAAAGCATGTCCAGCCATTCTGGCTTTGAAGACTACTTTTGTCATTCCTACCCCTAAGTATATTCCTGAAGCTGACCATCAGAATTAATAGTTAATTATAGTGATTTTAACTTGTTTATGAAGTCTTAATACTTGGAAAGGACCTTAGAAAGCACCTTGTCACACTCTGAAATCAATGCAGATATAACTAACATTTATAAAACATATGCTATGTACCAAGCACTATATTGTGCCAAGCACTGTACGTTTCATTTATGCCTCGTGGCTTAGGCCCTTGTGTCAGGTCTGCTGCTTTGGGAAAAGCTATCGGGTTGGTTTCAACACCAGCCACATTAGTGTGTGTAAGGAAATACCAGTCTGGACATGAACCTTAGAGGTAGCTGAGGGTATGGCAGCATCTTGCCTCAGTTGCCAAGGACTCCCCCTGCAGCCAAGGGGAGCATCCACTGAGTGGCTCATTCTGGTGTTTGACAACAGTTAGAAAGTTCTTGCATACCTGTGACTCTGAGTCATTGGTTCAAGTTCTGCCTCTTAAACCTTTTAACTTTTCCACATGGCAACTCTTCATATAGGTGAAGGCAGTGATTCACCTGCTCTTTCTCCCCCTCAAGTCTTCTTTCTTTCAAGCCAAACACCATTTTCCTCCAGGCTTTTCCTCATTCTAAAGTAAATTTATCTAGATAATGAGTTCCAGTTTGTTAGTTTTCCACTTAGAATTTACTATGAGTGGTACTCAGAGCTGAACAGGACATTCTGGATGTAATCTAAATGGTCCGCAATATCGTAGAACTTGTTCTGGGTGCCGTTTTTTTATTATTCCAACTCAGGAGTGTTACCTTTTTTGGCAGGCACATAATGCTTATTGAGAATATTTGTTTTTATGTTTCTTTTTCTGGATATGCCACAGGTCACTTATTGTGGGGATTTAAAAATATGTCCACACATTGATACTCTTTCCTTCAAGAGATTAACCTTAACTCCTTTAGGGTGGGCTGGATTTAGTAACTTACTTCTAATAACTAGAATGTAGCATGAATAACAGAGTGTGACATTCTATAGTAGGCCATAAGAGACATTGTATCTTTAGTCTTTTTCTCTCTTGATCACTTTTGGCTCTGGGGATGCCAACTGCCATGTCATGAAGTATCCCCTCCTATGAAGAGGCCCACACAGCAGGGAACTGAGTCCTGACAACAGCTATGTTGAGTGAGCCTTCTTGGAAGTGGATCCTTCAGCCCCAGTCAAGTCTTCAGGTGACTGTAGCCTCAGCCAACATCCTGTCTGAAACCTCATGAGAAACCCTGAGGCAGTACCACCCAGCTAACCTGGGTCCCAAATTCCTCGCCCATAGAAACTGAGATAATGGAATGTTTTTGTTTAAGTCACTGAATTTTGGCACAATACGTTATGCAGCAATAAATAACTAATACTTTCATAATTCCATTATCCAGAGGTGAAATTAATATTTTTTCCTTTTAGATTTTTTTCTACAGAGAAAATGTATATATTTATTTCCACTTACATAAATATATAAAACATATATGCATTTACTCTTTTTAAACAAAAATTGTGATTGTCACCTGCATGTCATTTTATATACAAGGTCTTCCTTTCATAGTAATATCATTTTAATGGTGGCAGCATACTACATAATATGATATTCTATCATTTAGTTATCCAGTCTTTTATTTTAAATATTTAGTTTTCTAATTTCTCCCTATTATAAATAATGTTACAGTGATGAATATCCTTGTAGCTACATCTTTATTCTTTTTTTAAAAAAATATGTTTTTATTGATTTCAGAGAGAGGAAGGGAAAGGGAAAGAGATAGAAAACATCAGTGATGAGAGAGTCATTGCCTCCTGCACGCCCCCTACTGGGGATCCAGCCCGCAACCCGGGCATGTGCCCTGATCAGGAATTGAATCGCAGTCTCCTGGATCAGATGTTGGTGCTCAGCTGCTCAGCCATGCTGGCCGGGCTCTTTATTCTTTTTAATAACTAAATTTTGTGTCCCTTTGTATTTTCTTAGGATAATCTAGAACTGGAATTTTGATATACAAAAATTATGCATCTTGTTGACACTTTTGTTATAATTTCCAAAATTTTCCTTCAGAAAAGTTGTACCAATTTCCTCATACTTTCAGCAACACTGGATATTTATTCTTTTTCATCCTTGCTAATGGGAGTGGCAAGAAAATGGTGTGTCGTTCTATTTTAATTTCTTTGAATACCAATGAAATTAACATCTTTTTATGTTTGTCGGACATTTGTTAGTATTCTTTAGTGAATTCCCTATTCAAACCTCTTGGGTTTTTTAAATTCTATCAAGATATTTACATTTTTGTAATAGCTTCATAAGAACTTACCGTATGTTAAGTATCTTAACTTTGTCATATACTGCTGATACTTTCCCCAGTTTGTCATTTTTAAAAATCTTTATATATGATGTATTTTGCAATATAATACTTAACAAGTTTTTATGTACTCAAATCTTTCTTTTTTCTTCATAGTCGCTGCCTTTGATGTTAAAGTTTAAAAAACCTCTCACAGACCAAGATTATAAAAACATGCACCTACATTTCTTTCTCTTGCTTTTATGGTTTTACTCTCTGTGTTTATTTTTAAAGTTGTAGGAGTCTAGGAAGTGCCCTTCTACTTGCTATATGGGATGCTGCCTGATTTACGATTGCTAAAAAAGCAAATTAGATCTTAAAAAACAAAAGTTATAAGAGTCTAATTTTCCCCAAATAGTTATTTACTTGTCCCAGTAGTATTCTTGTTTAGTTTGTGCCTGAGTGGTTATACATTTTGTTGTTATTGTGACTGGGATCTGTCTTCCCATCATCCTTTTCAACCTGGTTATTGCTATTTTATTTATTTACTTATTAAATTAAATGTATTGGGGTGACATTGGTTAATAAGATCATATAGGTTTCAAATGTACATTTCTATAATTCATTATCTGTACATTACATTGCATGCCTATCACCCAAAGTCAAATCATCTTTGTCACCATATATTTGGCCCCCTTTATCCCTAACTACCCACCCCACCCCCAGCCTTCCCTCTGGTAACCACCACACTGTTGTCTGTGCCTGTGAGTACCAATTTTATATCCCACATATGAGTGAAATCATATGGTTCTTAGCTTTTTCTTACTGATTTATTTCGTTTAGCGTGATTGTCTCAAAGTCCATCTATGCTGTCGCAAATGGCAGTATTTCATCCTTTCTTATGGCTGAGTAGTATTCCACTGTGTAAAGGCACCACATCTATACCCAGTCATCTGTCAAAGGACACTTCAGTTGTTTTCATGTCTTGGACATCGTGAATAATGCTGCAGTGAACATAGGGATGCATATATCTTTGTGAATAAATATTTTCAAAATTTTTGGATAGATATCCAGGAAAGGGATTGCTGGGTCTTGGTAACTCTGAATGTTTTGAGGACCCTCCATGCTGTTTTCCATAGTGGCTCTACCAGTTTACGTTCCCACCAGCAGTGAATGAGGGCTCTTTTTTTCTCCACAACCTCTCCAACACTTTCTGTTACTTTTCTTGATGATAGCCATTCTAACAGGTATGAGGTGGTTTCTCATTGTGATTTTGATTTGTATTTCCATAATGTCTAGTGAAGTTGAGCATCTTTTCATGTACCTGTTGGCCATTTGTATGTCTTCTTTTATTTTTTTAATCCTCACCAGAGGATATTTTTTCCATTGCTTTTTCAGAAAGAGTGGAAGGGGGAGAGAGAGAGAGAGAGAGAGAGAGAGAGAAACATCAGTGTGAGAGAGACACATCCATTGGTTGTCTCCCACATGGACATGCACCAGGGATCCAGCCTTCAACCAAGGTATGTGCCCTTGGCCTGAATCGAACCCAGGACCCTTAAGTCCACAGGCCGATGCTCTAACCCCTGAGCCCAAACAGCTAGGGCTGTATGTCTTCTTGGAGAAGTATCTGTTCATATCCTCGGCCTATTTTTTAATTGGGTTGTTTGTTTGTTTGGTGTTGAGTTGTTTGAGTTCTTTATGTGTTTTGGATACTAACCCCTTGTTGGAGCTGCTGTTTGCAAATATCTTCTGCCATTCAGTTGGTTGCCTTTTTATTTTGTTGGTGGTTTCTTTTGCTGTGCAGGAACTTTTTAGTTTGATATAGTCCCATTCATTTATTTTTGCCTTTACTTCCCTTGCCTTTGGGGCCAAATTCATAAAATCTTCCCTAAAACCAAGGTCCATAAGTTCAGTACCTATGTTTTCTTTTATGTAATTTATTGTTTTAGATATTATATTTGGGTCTTTGATCCATTTTTAATTAATTTTTGTACATGAGACAAATGTAGTCTAGTTTCATTCTTTTCATAAGGTTTTCCAGTTTTCCCAGCACCATTTATTGAAGTGGTTTTCTTTTCTCCATTGTATGTTTTTCACTCCTTTGTCAAAAATTATTTGCCCATATACATATGGTTTTATTTCTGCTGCATTCCTGTATACTAACAATGAAATTTCAGAAAAAGAAATGGGGGGGAAAAATTTCCTTTTTGCAATTGCAACAAAAAGAATAAAATATCTAGGAATATACTTAACAAAGGATATGAAGGACCTATATACTGAAAACTACAGAGCATTATTAAAAGAAATTGAAAAAGACAATGAAACAGAAGGATATTCTGTGTTCATGGATTGGAAGAATCAACATAGTTAAAAATGTCCATATTACCCAAAGTAATATACAGATTTAATGCAATCTCCATCAGAATC